TTCCCTTCCCTTGCATATTTTCGAAGTGGTGCAGAGCCCCCACCATAGTTTCCCCAAATCCAGCCAAGCTCTGCTATTTTCCTTGCTTTTCAGCTGTTCCTTGTGGACCAGCCCAGCAGTGTTCATTTTCTCCTTCCTTTTCCATCAGCTGGAAAGTAAAGAAGGTAGGGCAGTGGGTGGAGTGAATTAGATGTGGGATGAGATTGTGGTTGGATTATCTGCTTTACATATTAGAGGAAAAACATGACTAAGAAGTTTTAGAGGTCCATCTTAACTATTAGGTAATTTCATGAAGAGGAAAGTCATTTAAAGGGATACTTAGATTGTGGATCTCCTTGTCAGATAATGCCAGAGCACTGGCCCTTAACCTGTCCTCTCCCCTCTCCCCCCAGTACATAGTTCTGTTGTTGTTCTTGCAGACGAGTTACTATGAGTAAACACATGCATCTGCTCCAGTTTAAAAAGAACAGGGTGGATCCCATCCTTACTCATCATAAGATCCTCTCCCACAAGCCTCATGAAACCGAGCCCTCAAACTTCTCCAGATTCTGATATGTCTATTTGTTATGATCAGCAGAACTGATCTTAACTGTTAACAAAACCTGGTTTTTCAACTGAGAACTTATTTTATGTCAAAACATGTTGGCATATTTGCCTTTTCATGAGCAAAGCCAGCTTTTATGAAGGTTGTTTTCACAGGCCACATGTCTGCTACAAATATGAGTTCACAAGCAGATTGATGTGGTGGCAGTAATGGCTGGTGCCATCTATTTCTATGAGGCAATACATCTACTCCTTAAGCTTTAAAGAAACCAACCAAGATGTTGATTTCTATCTCTAAAATAGATTAGATTAGATTATGGGAGAGCTCCCATAACATTTAAACTAAAACTCAGAGGCAATGCACCACCCCACGGACACAAAAGCCACCAGTCATGACTGTTTAGTGGAGGAATATTTGTATTATTTAGCTATATTTCTCTTGGGACACAGCAGACTGTGGAAAATTCTACCTCTAAAGATTGTGATAATATTAGCTACAGCAGCACCAACAGCTTTTTCAAAAACGTGGTCCTCAGAGACAGGTAGGCAAAGTGAATACGCCTTAAGAGAGAAACCAAATATCTTCCATCCTTCAATTCTGATGTAAGGAACTTTTACTTTTTTTATTGGTATGGCCATTTAAAACCACTATCTTTTACAAGCAGAATTTATAAGGCCTTATTTTTAGTGGCCTGCTCATATTTTTGTCTTTTATAAATGTTACATACCACAAACCAAACATGAATGGATGGCATGGATTGCAAACTCAGATAACTGGCAGGTCATTTCTTCAGGGGATTTGACATCCTTGGCTCTGCTATCTCTTGTCAAACAGGTTCAAGTACAAATAGTGTTACACATATTTGACAAGTCATGGTTGTCACACTGGAATACAGTTATCCCTCCACATTCACAGGGATTAGGGGCCAAGACCCATGTGAAAATGTAAAAATTGCATTTTTAAAAAATCATTATTATTTTTTTTTGGCCTGAGTAAATACCTCTATTGCTAAACCCAGTCATGCAGCTCTATAATCATGTTCTGGTTGAAACTAACCATAAAGTTACATTGAAGAACCTAGAGGTTACGGGAGAGAACACACCAAGAAAACCCTGCAAATGTGGAGGGCCTGACTGTAATGCCTCGTGGACATTTGTATTCAAACAAGAATTGCACAGATGTTGTTTAAGCTATTTATTAGAGTGTTACTTGGATATGTTCAAGGATATAGCTGCATTAGCTAGTATCAGTATGCCAATGGCTCTTGGAGCACCTTTGAGGCTAAAAGGCAGAAGTTGGTAGCCTAAGCTTTTGAAGACAGGGTCTTCTTCAACAGACTATATGAAAGGTTAAAGTTTTTGTATATTCATAAAAATTGCAGTGCTAAAGCTGGCATCTACAGCTGGGAGGAAAATAGGAAACGAGGTCCATTATATGAACAGGCTCCTCACTTCCTTGAAATCTTTCATCGTTGATTGGTTATTGTAAAAGTAACTCATTTCTTTATTTTTATTTACTTATTTTTCCCCACCTTTCTTCTGATGCTGGAACTAATGGTGGCTTACAACTGAACTTGCAATGTTTCCTTCAGAAAACTACTCAGAGTTGGTTATTCAACTAACTTCAACTAGTCCAACGGGCAGCAGCCAGATTGCTCACTGGAGCACCATACAGGGAGCATATCACTCCCCTGCTATGTCAACTCCACTGGCTGCCGGTCCATTTCCGAGCACAATTCAAAGGGCTGGTTTTGGCCTGTAAAGCACTATATGACTCCAACCCAGTTTACTTGTTTGAACGTATATCCCTCTATGTTCCAACTTCATAGTTTAAGATCCACTGGGGAGGCCCTGCTCTTGGTCCCACTGGCCTCACAAACGCGTCTGGTGGGGACAAGGGAGAGGGCCTTCTCGGTGGTGGCCTCCTGCTTGTGGAATTCACTCCCCAGCGAGATTAGATCACTGTCCTCCCTCCTTTCCTTTAGGAAAAAACTGAAATCGTGGTTTTGGAACCAGGCTTTTGGCTAGCAGGCACAACGGCACTTTGGACATTGAACTGGACCATATGATAATTGTTATGATAATGGAAACAGCTATATGACTGTATAATTAATGTTATTGTTTTAATCTATTATGTATTTATTCTTTTATATTGTTGTTATATTGTGATATTGCGGCATCGAATTGTTGTCAGTGTTAGCTGCTCTGAGTCCTCCCTCAAGGATTGAGAAGGGCAGGGTAGAAATGTTGTTAAATAAATAAATAAATAACAAAAGTGAAAAGGGGCTGCTTTCCCCCTCCTCATCTATCTTTTCGTTTAAAAATCCTGAAAAATTATAATAAGAGGTTAATTCCTAGTATGAGGCAGATGCTGGGAGACAAGGACTAGTGGGAAGGTGCTGGTTGTAAATTTATTTATGGTATCAGGAGCGAACAAAGGATACAGTTGTAATGTATTTTTTTAAAAGAGTTGTAAATGAACTACATTTTTCCCCTTCTGCCTCCTGAGCAAGTATGACCTGCCCAGGGGTGGTAGGAGATACTGTTCTGTCAGCAAGGATGATGTAAAATCCCATGAGAAGTCCAGTTGGCTTCTATATATAATCTGGGATATCTTTTCTTTTGCCTGAGGCAGCAAAATGTCTGGGTCCAACCATGCTCAAACCTGCTCAGTTTCACTGCGGTTGCTGTGTCATGTCCTTTCAGATCAAATCCTGCAACCAGGTTACTGCAGTTTCTTTTAAAGGATTGTTCTGTGGCTTTGTCTTTGTAGGTGTAGATGGATCCATTCATTCTCTACTCTTGTTTCTAAATGGAAACACAATAAAAAGATAAGGGCAGAGGAAAGAAACCTCCGCTCTGAGATCCAGCTGGGCAGACTTTGTATGCATGCCTAGGTCTGCTGCCTTTTTTTTTCTGTGGCCTGAGAAATTCTTTTCTTCCAATCTTCTTTGAATATTAGCTCAGTGATGCGTCTTGATGAAGAAGCAGAAGAAACTCTCAGGCTAAAATGATTAAGACTGCCATCCCAGAATGTATGGAATTTACCACTAAATTTGAGTCAACTGTGGTGTTTAAACACTTCAATAATCTTCTCTTCTTCTCTTTTTCCTATCCCTCTCCCTCCCTTCTTGCTTGTTTTCAACTACAAATATTAATGCTATCATGCATGGAGTTTTGAGGATATACGCAGCCTAGTCCTGTGATAGTAAGAGGAAAGTATACTTTATTCCTGCTTTGTATTTGCTTTACAGTCAGCCCTCTGTATCCATGGACACTTTATCCACAGATTCAACTATTCATGGCTTCAAAATATGCTCCCTAAAATCCAAAAAGCAAATCTTGATTTTATATAATACCCGGTGGTCCTGGAACTAAATCCTGAATGATTGCATGGGCTCTTTGCATTTCCTGGTCTACAACCATCTGACTGCCTGTAGTTTATAAAACACTACTTCTTATTTTTTCACAGAGCAACTCTTTGAATTATCCCAAGGGGCATTCCAGTATGTGGATAAAAGTCTAAAATGGTGTTTGCCATACATGTGCAAATGATAGTCCTCAGCAAAGTGTGAAGGTTTTAGAGAAATCAAAACCATAAGCTAAACATCTGGAAATATCTGTGCTTCAGGTTCATCTTTTTTGGTGTTACGGTGTATCTCCAGCATTGGCAATTGCCACCAAAAAAAGGAAAGAGGCTACAATTTATAGCAGTCTTAGATTTTGTGGGTGAGAATACTTAGGGTCCTTCCACACAGCCATATAGCCCAAAATATCAAGGCAGAAAAACCCACAATATCTACTTTGAACTGGGTTATCTGAGTCCACACTGCCATATATTCCAGTTCAAAGCAGAAAATGTGGGATTTTATACAGCTGTGTGGAAGGGGCCTTAGTTTCCAGAATCCATGTCAATGAATAACATGATTTCCTTGCAACAGTGAGATTCCCTCAGAGATACACGCATCAGCAATTGGACTCAAAAGTGAAGCTTATTATTTACCTTCAAATGATGAACCATAAAACAAAGCATACTAAAAACAAGATGTGTTGGTGAGGAAATAGGTGTGCTATGACAGTCATCTTTCGCCACTTTCTAAAAGCATGCTAGTTTGATCCTAAGAAAGATTCCTTGCATGGGCAGATAAGGAATTGCCAAGGAATACTAGATGTAGGCAATATTTCAAAGAAAGGCAATGACAAACCACCTCTACATACTCCTTGCTAAAGAAAATCCTGTGAAATTCATGGAGTCACTGTAAGTTGATAGGCAACTTGAAGGCACAGGCAAATACAAGTTCTAAAGCTTTAAAAAGTGCAGTTGGCTGACTGGCTGGAATGTATGTTATGCTTGCATACAAAGGACAAGTATCAATGTATTCCTATAGAAGATAAATATATTTATTTTTTAAAATATTTCATTATATTTCTGTTTCTATGCATTCTTCTCTTATTAGATCTGTTTGCTTGGAAGCCGCTTTGCACTTGGAGGTAAAAGGAACACTTCACAAGATGCTCTGTTTTGTTCATCCTGAAAAGTTGGAGAGCTCGGAGAAATAGAAGAGAATTAAGTTTGTCTTCTGGAGAATAATTCATAGCTAAAAGTCTGCAATTGCTCTTGGAGAAAAGGGAAATGCAACACCCACTCTTGGGACAACCTGTCTCCATGCTACATTCAAGATCTTTCTGGTCAAGCAGGAGAAAGAATTAGTGTGCTAAAACACTCTGGCCTTATACCCACCCTTTCTTCCTTGATGAAGTAACCAAAGCATTCAAAATCATAGAGTGTTTTTGTTTTATCCTGAGGCAGATGCAACGGCTGATCTTTACTCTTAATCCCTGACTTTCATCCAGAAAGTGTAAGGAAGGGAATTCCAAAATGCTACATGCCACTCTACTGCAATCCTGTCTCCCATCTCAGTCCAGCTCTTCTGCAGGAAGCAAAGCAACTCAAAATCCACACAGTTCTAAGAAGCCCATGGCTGACTCTGTAGAGATCTACAACTGCGTGGGGAACCTGCAAGGCAAAGAGAAAGCAAGCCACCCTATCTATCTGCAAGTTGGGTCAAATCATCCTGCAAAGCAAAAGGAGCAAGAAATGAATGAACTATCAGGAAAAGAATCTTGGAGAGCTAACGAAAACCTGCCACTCCCACTCCAAAGAGACGGCATTGGGTTGGCCTCAGAAGATGGGTGCCCTGTGACTAAAGACTCTCCAAGGCAAGCTTCTGGTTTGCTCCATTCTGCGTTTGGCAAGCCAGGTGACCAAGGTCAAGAATGGAAGGTGGTGAAAGTGAAACGAGTCCTTATTTCTCCTGTCGGTGAGCCCAGGAAACCAAGTAAGTGAAATCCTCTGTTATATTTCCACATCACACTCTTGTGAGAGCATACTAAGAAAAAAATTAAATCAGCAGTAACAGCTAAGGGAAGCATCTCCCTACACTTCTTCAATTTTTAAAATCAGGTTGGGTGGGGAGAGAGTCTTGGGGTAAAAGCTGTAAGGAAGGCTTAAACATCCCCTGCTTTGATATATTGGTAAAGATCAAGGGCTTACAGACTTCTTTATGATGAGAAGAAAAGGAGTTTAAAGTACATGCCATGACAAAATTTGACTTCGCTCTGTGCATCCAAGCTCTATTCAGGCAGTCATCTTCATGTTTGGCTCCAATGTGCATAGCTTCCAACATCATTGTCTGCAATACATTGGCTGAAGAGTTGATGAGGAATCGTTGTGAAAGCACTTAGTATCCTAATCCCCTCTACTATTAGCATTCTTGGTTATATTTCTAGGTAGGTATCTTACTATCAGTTTATCCTGTACAAATGGTGTTTCCTGATGTTAATAACTGTGATTCCATATCAGCAATGCATATCAGCTCTAACCTAGCATAGCAAAGCATGGGGGCAAGATACAAGCTGCAGTCTGGCAACATCTGGAAGGCTAGCAGTTGCATGCCTCTGGTGCCAAGGATTTCAGGCACATTCAGCCACATATGTATGTAGGCCTTTCAGACTTCCACTCAAAATAAAAAAAAAATTAAGGCTCCAGCTGGTATAACACTGTGGTGATAAAGATGATTTCTGTTGTCATCCAAACCAATGAGATACCCAAGGTGCTGAGACCTATCCTCCAAATAAGTTCAGCACCGTAGATAAATCTTTTGGCATTTGGACTAAAAGCCAGAGTGTATTCACTGGCATGGAAGCCACCATCCACCACTGCAGTGGGGAAATAACAACAACAACAACAACAACAACAACAATAACAATAACAATCCTTTATTTATATACCGTCCTATCTCCCTGAAGGGACTCAGAGTGGTGAGTTGGGGCTGGGGCCAAATTCTTATCTCTCTGTCATTCAAGTAAATACTGAAAACTAATGTATTTGAGTAACATGTCCCATTAGAATAAATGGGGATTCCACTGAATCGGGTTGCAAGTATGGCTCAGCAGACAAGTTTCAACTCCACTATAATGATCTTCGCCACTTGCAAGCTGAATATAGTTTTTAAGCAACACTAACCCATTGTGAAGCTCTCCATGTGGTTCTTTGTAATTTGGGTGCTCTTACCACACTGTAAACTGAAGTCATTTGTAGAAATATCCCCCTTTCTCTATAGTCGATTTCTCTTGTGGTTAAAGCATGTAATTGCTTGTTTAGCCACCATCATACTGAATTTCCAAGGATGAAGGATTTGCTAGAAGTAATGCCAAATATAATGGAAAGTAGGGATCTGTTTAGCTTTCTGTAAGTGTGTATATGTCTGTGTATATAACAGAAGGGTGGAGGAATGGGATGGAGAGAGAGAAAGCTTGAGAGACACAGGCAAATACAGTCTTTTATTCTCACTGGGCTTTACTGAGTTAATTTAACAACACATGCAGAAATGGATTTGGTTCTGACAAGACATCTGGAAAAATTCTAAATATGAGGAACTCGAAGGAGCCACTATCATTGCATAGAGAGTTTGTTCACATGTGCACACTCATCATTTCTCTACACTGTACATTTGAACACTGTTAGCTGAATGAATGTATGCACCATCAACTCCATTGAAATGCATTTCCTCTGGAATGAGGAAACATTTATTTCTGTGATATTCCATCTGTAATAATCTATTGACATAGACAACATGGGCATTGTGGTCTTCAAGGAATGAACGTACACCTGTGAAATTGTGGGTGATGAAGCACAGAGGTCGTGGTGACCAAGGCAGACCTGCCCTGAGGTGCTTTACTCAGAAGGTTCCCAGCACTTCCAAGGAAGCTGTTATAGCACAAAGGTTGATGGAACACAGGTAGCATCAAGTAAAATGATTTTTGCATTTTCTCCCTGGACAGAGTACCTTGAGCTCTTTTGATAAAAACATTCTTCACATTCATATGCTTCTTTGCTATCATCAATCATTAATTGCATATAGTGACAGCATTCAATCCATTCTGATCTAGGAAGGTAAGTTCTGATTAGTACTTGGATGGGAGGTCACCAATGAAACTAGGTGGTGTAGATCAGGGCTTCTTAAACTTTTTAAACTTGTGACTCCTTTTTGCCCTGTATTTTTAAGTATATAAAATGGCCCTCAGTATCTGCTGGGCTTTGGTTCCAGGGCCTACAGTGGATACCAAAACCCATGGATGTTCAAATCCTACGATACACAATGGTGTATTAAAATTATGTCCCTTATATAAAATGGCAAATTCAAGGTCTGAGAGATATAGATTCAGATATTCAAGCTGTGGGTGGTTGAATCCGTGGATACAGAGGAACCATCCTATTGCAAGCCAAACTGTAGGAAGATTAAGATGCAAAAAAATTAAAATAAATTAGATTTCCTTCAAGCAAGAGGGTGTAGATGGGGAAAAGGAAGGGCAGTAAATGCCTGGAGAGGCTGGCAGGGTTTGTTGCCTTCCTTCACACTTGCGTACCTCCTTTACCTGTCCTCATCCCCCCTCCTGATCTTCCTTTTCCTCCTCAGTTGCCTGGCTGCTTGCTTTTGCCTGCCCTCATCCCTCCTCCATGTGACTGGCTGCCTCCCTGGGCCCATTTCCCTTCCCATGGCAGCTTGAGCTGGGCTCCCCACCTGCATCTTAGGGGGTGAGGGGAGAGAAGCCTTCCATGACCCCAACATTGAGCTAAAAGGACCCATAGTTTTAGAAGCTCTGGTGTAGACTACATTTCAGAAGCAACAACTGGCAAAATCATCTCTTGAGTGTTCCTTGTCTAAGAAAACCCTATGACATGGGGTCACCATAAGTTGATAGGGAACTTGAAGGCACATGTACACACAGTGATGGTCCATGCTGTCACTCAGCTGTGGAATCATAAAAGGTTAGTATTCTTTCTTTTTTAAAATAAATAAACCATGCTTTTCATCAGAAAGTGGATGTCAAATCTAAAGAAACAAGCCCAGATTAAAATAACAACAGCATAGATTAAAATATAGACAGGTTTAAGTGACAGGGCCTATGTTGTCAAAGAAAATATCTGAGAAGAACTGGGGAGGACTCAAAATCCACTGCAGGGAGAGAGACTACTAAGAGCCCTGGCCATATCTAATGAATTGCATTGCTAGATCAGACTAAAGTTAATTTTAAAGTTGTGATTATTTTGTTAGTCTGCAATCCTAATTTACTTCCATAAGGTTCAGAAAACAACCATACTCATTGGAGCCCCCAAACCAGCTTTATAAACAAATATCCAAACAAATATCAATGAACTTCCACAATTTTTTAATGCTTCAGTCTGATTTGTTTGATCCTGGTAACATAGTCCCAACTTTTAGGTACATGTGGTTGCCAGGAAGGGGGTGGATGGATTGCATACAGTGATGTCAGTGGGAAATGTGAGGCTTAAAGTACAGATGGAGGTAATTAAATTATTAACGGTGGCTATTCACAGAAACAGTTGTCAGTGATAGAGACAACTGAAAGATGGCTGTGTGCAAGCTGGCATTTTGTTCCGTGAAGGCAGACCATTTAGATGAAACCAAAATTGCAAAACTTGGGAATGTTTTAAATGGATTTAGTGACATACTGAAGCCCTCGGAAATTCAGCAAGGATAGACATATACTCCGGGGCCCAGCTCATTTATGAATGGCTTCAGCATATCATTATACACATCCTTAGAAATCACTTTCTGTATTTCTACAAACAAACAAAAAAGCCAAAACATTTCTGTGTGATGTTCTTGCATGCATACATAGGACAGATTACCCCCATGTTGCGATGAAGCCAAGGATATAGAGCAAAAGTGGTAAACAATAAACATGTTGACATCACATTATGGTGCAAGGTATCTGACATGTTGAATGTGGAGAAAAAATGACCAAAGGATGCTATTTTCAGTGGTGTCCTCCCAATGTTAGTAGTGTGCAATTCCACACTCACATAGCTGTCAGATTGGCAAATGGTTTTCTAGCCTCTTTGGTGGTGTTATTGTTGTATGATTTCAAGTTGTTTCTGACTTACAGCCACCCTAAGGTAAACCTATTGTGGGATTTTCTCAGCAAAATCTGTTCAGAAGAGGATTCCCTTTGCCTCTCGCCGAGGTTGACAAAATCTGACTTGCCCAGGGTCACTCAATGGGTTTTTGTGGCTGAGCAGGGGTTGGAGGTCAGAGTTCAAACCACTATGCCACACTAGCTCAGTACTACATAACTATTACTGGCAGTGGAGCATTCCTGGATCTTTTACTATTGGTTTTAGATAATGGTTTTATCCATGATGTATATTTTAAGATGTGAGCTGCCTTGGGTCCACCTGAAGAAAGGTGGCATAGAAATTGACTAAATAAATAGATATAATTCCAGCATTTCCTTGTCATTTTCCAAATATAAGACTTGTACATCTTGTACATCCTGGTGGGGTTATTACCTTTCTTAAGATTTTCAAAGGAAGGAAGATGACAAAGTGTCCTGGCATGACCTGACATAACCATTCTTTTCCCCAAGCCATCTGATGAATGCAGGACTTCTCAAGAAGAGAATTCTGCATATAGATGTATTTGCTCATATTAGATCAATTCCTAGCAGGCTTGAATATATTAACAGTTAATGAACAGAATTAACATAATATTAATGAGAGGGTGTTATTGTTTCTGTAGATGCATGAGATAAACGTAAAGTTCTGTCAAGCATTTTTCTAATAAACCATCACAATACATAGTTTGGAAAACCATGTTATACTGATGTTTTACGAACACGATTTGCATTATGACTGTTTTACCAAGATATAGAGCTTGGAGAAGTTACTTTGAATATATTGTAATTTTAGAGGGAGATGTATAAATAACTATATGCATATATAACTATTGAAAGCAAGATCAGAAGTCACATA